ATAGGTCACCTACTGAATATTCACCCTTTAGAGAAATAAGGTACTCTATACATCTGAGTTATTATGAGTGCCCATAATCTCTGACCACATCCCTTAGAAAACAGAGACTGGAAGCGTGATGTCCTAAGCGTGGTAATAATAACATACCCATAATGGTTTTCTGTTGCAATTACAGTTGCTGCTTCGGCTGCTGATTTTTGTTGGAAGATGCTCGTCTCGAAGCTCTTAAACAGCTCCCTAATCTTAAGCCACTAGAGGTGATTTCTCTTGTCTAACTTCTATGCTGTCTGCTGCAATTTCTGTTTCTGACTATAATATAATATAAAGAACAAAGAGAATACTCTCCTACTCAACCTGGCTGCAGTGAGATTCCAGAACACCTATAGACTATGAAAAAATATTCAGGGAGTGAACCTCTAGAAAAATGTAGGGAAGAAGAAAAGACAAAGGGTTGCAGGAAAAGAGGACTTTAAAGTGATTCAGCAGCAGAACCAGTGTGGAATTTTCTTGGTTATTTTTTTGGTGGGGGTGTGGTTAACATCAAAGAAAAGAAGTGGGCTTCAGATTTCCATCCTCCTCGAAGATATCTAAATACAATATTATAAACCAGCATCAAGAAAGATGGTAGGCAGAATCCAGAAGGAATTTTTGACCAAGGAATGAAAACTTAGAGTAGAAAATATTTTTTAAACTTGAGAATTTGATAGTTTAAGCTTTATAAATTCAGTCAGACTTATGTGACACCTATCTGAAATCAACAAGGGACTGGCATGACTCTGCCCCAAACCTTTTCCTCTTCACTACAAGGTATCCAAAATATATACATTAGAATTTGATACCATGTGGCAGCTCAGGAGCACCTGTTTTATGACAAATACTAGATGAGGATAGTTTTTCAGCACTGGCGTGATTCTTGCTTCTCTGCAAGTACAGCATTTACTGAGCCCCTTCTGTTGCAAAGTACTATGCTATGCCCTGAGACGGGGTTTGGGGAAGATGTTACAAGGAGTGGGGCAAAAAGACAAGAAAGGCAGCACTTATCTCGTGTTGCATATGATATAGGTGTGTGTGTTAGTTGCTAGAGGTGAGTAAGAATTCCGAGATGACTCCAATCGACCTTCAATACAGATAGAATTTGTTTGGTCAGAGAGCAAAGTGGGTGCAACTGCATACGCTAAAGCAAAGAAGCAGAAGAGTTCAGGAAGTGCTGGAGGTCAGAAGGCAACCCTGATGGAGCCACCCTCACTTGGTTCCTTCTCGGCCTCCCTCAGTCATGCTCACCATTTCCCTGGGTCAGTGAAAGGTGGAAGCCTGGGAACCCCTAAGTCAGTGTTAATTTGAAAGAGAATTTGTTAAATGGGTAATAACCAGAGGACCATTTCCTAATTCTTATGGGAAAAACTGTACAAATGCATTTCTTTACAGGTATTATTCTTACAAATATTTAAACTCAACCAGAATAAATGCATAAACATTGATATTAAAGGCAAACTTACACAACATTGAGCCCCACCCATGCATTTTTTTAGAGGCTGAAACCAATGCCCAAATAGAAAACCTAACTGACTTGCCAGAAGTCAATTAATTGAACAAAAAGGTTGGAATAATGCCCAAGACTCCTGATGGCTAGTCAATGCTCTTCCCACAGCACCATTGTACATTGTACATATAGATGAATGGTTTTGTATGTCTTGTTTGGAGGAAATTTCTTCATGCCCTTCTATTACAAGGGGCCCCAAGGCCTTCAAAGGTGCCATCTTGACAGTTGTGTGCACCCATTCTTCAATTCTTTCTAACACTTTCATTGCTGAGGTGCTTATCTAATAACCATTTGTCACTTCCTCCAGATTTCCACATAGAATACCTACCTTCTTATGTCACAGCAACACAGCTTCCTCCTGTTAACTAACCAGACATTTCTATTTCTCCCTGGCTCATAATATTGCTGGACTGGTAGTGTTCCCCTAAAACACCTCATGAACAGGTCTCTACAACCCAAGTATGGCAGAGATTGGGGAAAATTAACTTAATCAATTCCCAAGTCCCACATCCAATTTACCACAGTTGAGAAATTTTGCTTAGACCTTGCATCTTTTATTTCAGACCTGAGACAACTGCTGCTTTTTCAGGTGAAGAAATTAGTCCATTTTCACCCAAATTGATCTGAAAATGGCTGTCATTCTCAGTGGGCAGTAGAACCCTTAATTTGTCTAGCTTTTTTGTTGCCATAACTCTAGTAACCATTCATTTATAAGCCTTTCTTTGGATCTCTTAAGCTTTGAGGATTCTGTTTCCATAGGCATTTTCCTTTAAGTGTTTATATTAAGTAAAACTTTTGTGCGTGGGACATAACAGCAAATAAGAATAGTTAAGAAAATGCAACTTCTATTCACAATTATAGGAACTCCTAGAGTAGAAACAAGTCATGGAATAACCCTCCAATTCATCTTTTTTCTCCAACTTCCAGCCCAAAACATTTTTACATACTTAGTAAACACATAGTTACAAGCTTATCATTAACAGTTTTAAAGCTGCTCTACTTCTATGAGTCTGTGATGACTCTGTAAGGCATTGGGCTCCAATGGGAAATAGGTCACCTACTGAATATTCACCCTTTAGAGAAATAGTTATTAAACAACCACAATAAATTAGGTTCTGTTTTAGGTATTAGGGATGCAGCAGTGAATAACCCATACAAAAATCTCTGTTATCATGCAGCTTATATTCTAATTAGAAGAGTAAACAATAAATTTAATGTAATTTAATTAAGAAATAAAATATAAAATATCATAGTGATAAGGACAAAATCAAGCAGGGAAGCAATTCAGGGAAAGTAACAATTTTAGACTGTAGAAGCAAGGACTGACTTCATGAAGACAGTTGACTGAGAGCTGGGCTTTACAGGTTAAGTGTGCCCCAGGCTGAGGGAGAAGAAGAGGGAGGGGAAAGAGAAAGTCTAGGGTGAAAAAGAAGGTTAAGGTTTAGAGGAGGCAGAGGGGAAACTAGCCTATATGAGTGTGATGCATTTTGAAAGGTGCAAAAGGAACACAGAATAGATTCATTATCACAGAGGACATTGAAACCCAAGTCAGGACTTCCAACTACCATCTTAATTAGTGAGATTCTGGCACTGTGTTGGGCAATAGTGTCCTCACTGAGAAACTGAGACCAAAGAAATGGTTATAGCATTATAACCCCAAGGTTAAACCATTAGCTAGTGACTTACAGAGTAAGGTGTGGGACTCAGACACTCCTTCCTTCCTTCTCTCCTGCCCTCCTGCCTTCCTTTTACATTCTCCTCATCAACAAAAGTTCTTCTTGTGAGCTGAAGATTTCTTTTGTTTTGGGTGAGGTCCTTTTGCTCTGGAATTAAACAGGCAAGTCAACCTTTGATTTTTTCTTCTCTGGGCTGACAATAACCTCTTCAATATTTTGAAGGTGCAGGACTAGGTAAATAAACTCTGATCAGTACTTTTAAGACTCTTTTCCTCAGTTCTTTCCACTGGCAGTTTCATCCTCTTTTTATCACCTCACAACAGCCCTGACAAGTTACCTCTGCTACCCCTCTTTGTGGCTTCACTATGTCACAAGCTTAATTCAATCATTTGATTTCCCAAGAGGCACAGGCAGTGGACAAAGGGCAGGTGCCTTGGGTTAACAACATTTCATAAAGTTAACTGTTGTCTCTCCTTGGAGAAAAATGTGTCTTGGGATGGACTGAAGTAAAAGATTTTAGATCAGACCATAGTAATTATGTATTCTTTTTCTCTGGCTATGTTTTGTCTGCAGCAAGCAGAGGCATCCAAAATAATTTTATTGCACTTAGGAATGGGTTTTATGTTCAGGATATGCTTTTCAAAGAGAGCTATTTTAGAGACTAAATTGTTGAATGCTTGACTAATGATTTTGTTTTTAAGTGTTTGAAGAACAGAAGTCTCTGGAAACTGGCACTCTTCTTGGGTTTTTTTTTTTTTTCCTTTTATTTTTCCTTCCTCCAACAGTTAAAAGTGTAGCTATAAAGATGAAGCTGTGTAAACGGCCACTCCAGGGAGCAGAGGGATAAGACAGGGAAGAGCAATGGTCCCACCTTCCTTTTTCCCCTTAGTGGGTTGTGAGTGTGGCAGGCAGAGCAGAGGCTAGAGGACAGTGTGTAAGCAATGAAACATACATTTGCCTCAAGTCTTCTTAAGCTCTCTTTGGACAATTGAGTGATTCTTCCCCTCTTTTCCTCTTTGAATAATTGGCCAGTGCCATCAGAATGTATTTTTTGGAAGAATGCAGAGGTGTGGAGGAGGTGGAGCTAAATGAAATAGAAATGCATGAACTGGAAAATTAACTCATAGGTATAGAGAAACCCAAGTTGGCAAATTAGAAAGTGATGATCTTGAAGTTAGTGGCTGTTAATGGCTTAAAGCTGTGTTCCTTGTTGTTTCATTGTTTTGTTTTTCCAAGTGAAATCCTATGTGGGCCCCTAATATATAAAACAGGAAACAAAACAAGAAACAAACCCAGAATGACTGTAGTAGTGACATCCTGGTTGTGAGACCTTAGAAAAGCTGGTTAACGGTTGAGATCTGATTCTTCATAGATCTTTATGAGGATCAAACTAAGTGAATTTTATAGATTGTGAATTTAAAGACACTTTAATTGTAACGCACGAGTCTGAGGAACAAAATCCTTAAGGATTAAAGAAAAATGTTTTGTAATACAGCATGTCATATATATCATGAGAAGTAGGGATTCTTCAAGGCAGAAGAGCTTTCTCAATGTCCCTTAAGTCGTATGTTGTTTAGAGTTTCCAGACCTACTGATTTGAAAGACTTTCCCTGGTGTTTGCATTTTTCAGAGCATTCCTTTTTCTGGAAGACGGAGGAAGGGCTGGACATCTCCTCCCTCTTCCTGAACGGGCATGCTCCTTCACCAAGAGCCAGGAGGCTGTGGGGGAACCCTCAGGCTGGTGGTTTCTGAACAGAGAATGAGCGAGTATTATTGTGTTTCAGTTCTCAGAAGAGCATTGCTGAGGTGGGAGGCCCTGAAGTTTGAACCAGAGCCATGGAGGGCTCTGTGCTGAGCCCCACATCTTGGGAGAAACGGCGGGCCTGGCTCCGTCAGAGCCGTCACTGGCAGACCCAGGTCCTGGAAGAGGAGGCTGCAGCTGCCCTGCAAGATGTCCCAGATCCCGAGCCTTCCAGCCTGGATGATGTTTTCCAGGAAGGTAAGAGATGCGTAGACATCAAACAGACTTTCCTGTTGTCCTGTGGTAGAGAAAATGTGGCAGTGGGCACAGGTCTGCAGAGTGTGGGCAGTGGGTCCACAGGAAGGACCATTTTGACTGGTTGAAATGAGTTTAAGAGGAAAAGGGTACAGTAATACAAGATATGTATTATATGAGAAAGAAACAGGCCTAAGATTAGGAAAAAGAAGAGCCACATTTTTGCATCATCCTGAGAACTGCCTCTGAGGTCCTGAGCCCAAGGTGTTCTGTGAATGCTCTGGAATGTTTCTATTTTGTCTGTGCAACAAGATGACACTCAATCTGGGTGGCTGGGCTCTGGCTGCAACTCTGCCACTAACAAGCATGTGACCTTTGGCAAGTCATTCACCTAAGATGTAACTGAAGTAACCGTTCCTGATAGTACCTTTTCTACATGCTTCTCAGAGCTTCTGTGAGGTTCAAATGAGATTACACATGTAAGAGTAAAAAAAATAAAAATAAAAATAAAGGTATAAATAAACCCATCTTTGATTATTTGGTAGGAAACAAATGCAAGATTGTATTTTTGTTCTTGTTTTTTTTTTAACAAGGGATCCGCCCCTGGTCCCAAACCTTGAGAAAAAGAAAACAGTGGGAACCTGGACATTTTCCAGTTTCCTGGGAAGACAGGGGCAGAGAGGCAGAGAGAGAAGAAATATCCACTATTTTTATCCACTATCTTGAAAGAAGTTTCATAGGGGAAGATTCACAATGTGGCTAATATAAGGATAAACTTGTGGAATGGAGTGAGTTTCAAGGAGGAAGTCTGATCTCCTCCAGTTCTCACAGCAACCTGATGTCTGACTTTTCTAGGGAATCCAGTCACTAAGATTGAAGACTGGCTGCAGGACTGTGGGTAAGTGCCGGAGGAGCCATGGGGGTGAATGAGGTTGGTGGTCAGATATGCTGACAGGCACTGGTTCTTGAGAACTCAGAGATAAGGAAGTGGGTTTCAATGGGACCTAAAGATTAGAAGTGAGGATGAAATGGGGCAGAGATTGTAAGGGCTTAGGTTGAGCATGGGGTTTGGGGCTGTGAATCAAGTACAACTCTGGGCTGAGACTAAATTAGGGTGGAGGTCTGAAAATCAAGGCTGGGTCCCGTCTAAAGCCAAGAATGATGGAAATCCACAGCTACTGGGAATAGCTGGGCCGAGTTCCAGATTCCTGATCCATTGTTCTGCCCTTTTGACTGGAGTCTTACATTGTGTAACAGAAAAGGAGTTAGAAACAAAATTGTTCTTATGATCAGAATAATTCATCACACTTTTGTTTATTTCTACTGCAGAACATAGAAACAGGGGCTAAGAGTTTACCCCAGTCATTCAAAGCAGTGAAGAACTGGAGCAGGTACTTAAGGCAAAATGTAGTATCTCTTTCCTTAAAGACACTTTAAAATATGAGATCCCACATCCCCAGCAGACTATACCATTTTAGGCCCAGTCTACCCAGACACAGAGGGAAAGCTTCTGTGCCTTATTTAAGCCTGATCATTTGTATGATAATGAATTCTAAGAATTTATAACTCCTGCCTGCTTCTTACTTCCCCCTCCAGGAATCCTTCAAGCTTTATATGGCCTTTAATCTAAATTCATATATTAACTATAAATAAACTCATCCTTGCCCATTAAGTAGGAAATAAATAGCACTGAATAATCCAACGTTGTTTATTTTAATTCCGCCCCAGAAGGTAATGCCAGGAAGGATATATTTTGTGTTTTTGTTGTTTGCAAAACATATTGCACCTACTATCCTAATTAGTCCACAACTAGTTAACATCAAAGCCAGTTAAGGGTCCTCAAAGTACTGGAAGTAAAGGGGTGGTGATAACAGGAATGTTTGCAAGTTTTGGTGTGTGAGAACTGTCCTAGGATTTAAAGTGCTTCACCAGATACATACTGGTGTATGTATTTCATTAACTACTCTTGAGTCTTATCAATTCAGATCAATAATTATTGACTATGCATTTGCTGTCTGATTGTCTGAATGGCTTAGAGGGGTGCCAACTAGTTTATATATTTTTCTTGACCTCAGATATACTACTTTCTCACTGAAAATAATAATTCAGAATACAGATATACAAGATTGTAAACTCCAGAAATCACCTTTTCCCACCTATATTCTATAAAGATAAAGCTCTACCAAAAAAATGTTATGAAAAGGTAATCTGGTGAGTGAAAAGGCTCCAAAATTTGCACCTAATTCTTGTCTAGCCAACTGTAGAAACAATTGTAAGCAAACTAACTGAAATTCTTCCTCAGAATCCCCAGCTATAAAGTGGAGAACTAGAATAAGAAAGTTTCAAAAGTTCCTTGCGAGATTTCAATTATATATGCACAAGTGTTTTATGCTCTGTAATAGTAAGTGAGTGGTGAGGTTTATAAAGGAGGGGTTTTACTTTAAAATTTCACAAAATAAGTCTACTACTAATCTAGCATCCACCTATCCGTATCTCTTTATTTATCAGAAAAGTATGTCCAGAAGTGGTACACACCAGTTCTAGGATAGTGGTTACCTCTAGGAAGGAAGAAAAAAGGAATGGGAGTAAAATGAGACTTCAGTTGTATCTTTAACATTTTATTTATTTTTTTATTGGCAGAAATCTTAAACAAATAAGACAAAATGTTTGCATGTGTGAAAACAGGGGAACAAGTGCAAGGGTATCTGTCATGTTTACTTTTCTGTGTGTTGAACATTTTTTAATATTTAAACTTCAAAAAGGCCACAAGGAAGTCCATTAACATGCTTACAAATATTTGTCTCTGGAAGGGGAATTATTAGGTTCATTTAGTATTTCCAACTTTATTTTCTAATCATCCCTAGTAAGTATATAATCCTTTATAATTACATGGGGAAAATCAGAAAAACTAAAAGGGTAATGATAGTGAGAGAACACTTGGTTTTAATAATGGACAATGAAGAAGATGGGCGGAAATGCATTGTAAATTTGACTCTCTGAGTTGCCGCAGTCTTGGATTCTTAGGCTGCCAAGACCACAGAGGAACAAGAAACCCACATTCACTGGTTATCTGCCCGTTCTGTTGACAGGTGCCCTGAGAGGCACTTTTCAAATTTTATCTCAACACCATACAGTTTCCATTTTCTTCCCATTGCCAAAGACCCTCTAGTAGCAAGGGAGTTTGTTTTCTGACAAGCCTTCCAAGGAAGCCCACCAACTTCTGGGGTAATTTAGTGTCAGGTCTCCCAAGGTTGTTTATTTCAATTCCACCCCAAAAGGTAATGCCAGGAAGGATATATTTTGTGTTTTTGTTGTTTGCAAAACATATCGCACCTACTCTCCTAATTAGCCCACAACTCGTTAACTTCAAAGTCAGTTAAGGGTCCTCAAAGTACTGGAAGTAAAGGGGTGGTGATAACAGGAATGTTTGCAAGTTTTGGTGTGTGAGATTTTAGTGGCAAACCATTCTGCTGCAGTTTTAGATTGTAGTTTGCAAAACATATCGCACCTACTCTCCTAATTAGCCCACAACTCGTTAACTTCAAAGTCAGTTAAGGGTCCTCAAAGTACTGGAAGTAAAGGGGTGGTGATAACAGGAATGTTTGCAAGTTTTGGTGTGTGAGATTTTAGTGGCAAACCATTCTGCTGCAGTTTTAGATTGTACACATCTTTACAAACTATGCTGCTCCTTTTCTTTTCTCCTCTTAAGCTCTCAGGGAATTTTCTAGGACATAAATGTGTTGCTTGTGAATCATCAGTGGTAGGGTTGGGGACCCAAAAATCATCTTTGTGGAATTCAGCTTTAATCCCTGCAGGCAAGATCTATGGAAATTACTGAAAGAAGCAAAAAAGAGCCATGCTTCTTCTCACAATTTAATCCTGTGAATATTATTTCTTTTGGTGAAAATATCCAGGTATTTCCATTGAGTATATTCCCAGAATTGAATACATTTCATAGTAATAGTAAATGTTAATTTATTCTAATATGTGTAATACTATATACACTGACATATATGTTTGTAATATTATATTAATACATTTCTTTGGTGAAAATATCCAGGTATTTCCATTGAGTATATTCCCAGAAGTGAATACTTTTCATAGTAATAGTAAATGTTAATTTATTCTAATATTTGCAATAGTATATACACTAACATATGTTTGTAATATTATATTAATATATGTTTTATGTAATTATCTATTAGGAAGAGAAGTGTGTGTATGCAGTTCTAATTGTTGTTATTAAAGTTACCTATCTTAATTAGCTTGAGTACCATTTGACATTTTATAATGTACCTTGATGTACAGATTTTTTCATGGAGATACATAAAAATTCAGATTGTGGAAAACATGGTTGATTTTTTTTTCACTATTGAAAAGAAGATACCAATAAAAAGATGTCCATATATGTAATGATTTATTTTATAAAATTTAAATATGACTCAATCTACAGATGTTCAGTTGGTAAACTCATCCCCATTATTAAACATTTCATTAGGTGATACTCTAATAGCCTGAGAGTGATCCGGATTGCTGGGGATTGGTAAAGAAGGAGGCTGGTTTCAGACCATCTCAGTGCCTGCTTTCCAGTCTCCCTCGTAGCTCACTTGAACAACTCTTCTCTGCCCCAGCCCCCACGTGAGGTTACATTCACACCACATGCAACTTCCATTTTAAAAGCTTGCAGAAAAGCAAACTCTATAAAACTCACCACACATTAGTCTTCGAAGTGTACTTAGATAATGATCATATCGATGCACCCAATCCTCTTATATAATATTTGAGAGTCTAGGTGTTCTGGTTGCAGCTCAAAAGCTCTTTCACAGACTACTTCGCTCACCTGCTTTAGACAGAGAATTTCTTCCTTATTTGGAAAACTGAGGTGCATCTTGCTATCACTTATGCTCATTTCTGTCTGTTCTTCTTGTGGAGATGGTAAATGTTTGATAAGACCTTATCTCAAAAATGTAAAAATAAAATCTCTAACCAAGATGCAGTTTCTTCTGCTTCCTGAAAGACATGGTGTTCAGCAAAAGCATGGCTCTGCAAGAAGGAAGGGGATGTGGGTAGATTAGATGACCTCCTCAAAGTCTTTTTTTTAATCTTGATATTTCTATTTGTGATGTGGAAATTATGGCACCCAAACTCCTGCTTCCACAGATGTATTCCTCCAGTTTTGCTTCTATGTTCTTTCTTTCCTATTTTCCCTAGCAACTGGAGAATCATTGCTAAGTTTACACAGTGTGATCAATACAATGGTGGCACAATTAATGTAAAATACAGTGCTCTCCTGACTACCTCAATGAATTTGTCAGTCCAGTAACCACTCTGTCTTAGTTTTCTTCAACATAAAAGCAATCTAAATACGACTGACTCTCACTGGAAAATTAAGTGAACTTGTGGGGCATACTTGAGGAAAAGCTGCCCGGAAAACATAGTGATTTCAACCTATAAGATTCTTTTCGGTGTTTAGATACTCTGAAGAAGGGTTTTTTGAGGAAGCAGGGCACTCCATCTACAGTGGTAAGTACAGGCCTTTTTCTTTCTTCTTTGTTCTTCTACCTGAATAGTGATATGGCTATGTGCGTGTATGTGTGAGCATATATGTGCATGCACATGCATATGCATGCATAAGAATGCTGATTGTCCCTTAACTGTCCACAAAATGCCTGTTAATAGGCCCAAGGCTGTCCAGGAAGTCAATAAGATAGAGTAAGCATTGGCTCCAAGCCCACAGGCTGACTAGTATTCAAAGATCATCTTCTGTTAGTAATTGCTCAGCTCTCACTGCTATGGGGAAATAGCTTTCTAAAATATGTGTGTTTATGTGTGTGAGTGCATAGCCCATGTGCTACTATTTAGCAGAGGACTGTATACAGTGACTATATGATATAGGAGACAGGTTAGTAATAGGAGAGTGTCTGTGTAATTCTTTCTGAGTTAAAATATGCATGAGATTCTGAGGTAGTATATGTAGAGCTATGGGTGGTTTTGAAACGTGAAAGTCTGATGTAATTGTGTGGTTGTAGATGTTCATGTGTACAGATGCATGTGTCTGCGTGTGTGTGTCCAAACCTGATTTTATGTGACCTTTGTTTTATTATTTATTAGGGTGCCCCAGCCATGGAACTAGCTTTGAAGATGACTTGACCCTTGGAGCAGAGGGTAAGTGGCACAACTCTCTGAGGTTGAGATCAAGGAAGAGGCTACATTGGGTGAGTTAAGGATAGAATGCAGAGGGAGAACTGCAGAAAGAAGCAGCCAATTTCTGCTTACCTGTAGGGAAAGAGCAGATCTTTCTTTGTGATCTGACATAAAACTTAGAAAGTGTCACATGCTCACAAATACTCCCTCACCAGCCTCTCATAATGTCTACAGGTTCTTCATTGGAGATATCCTCTGGCCCCTGGGGGGATAACATATAAAAGCATCGGCTGCCCAGACATCTTTGAAACTTTCTGCATAGGAAGCCCAAAGCGGCCTGAGTGCTGGGTGTAGGAGAGAGAGTGCACAGCAGGAAGATAAGGGCTTGAAGGAAGGATGGAGGTACAGCAGTCTCTGAGTGTCTCCTGGGACCTATAGAGCCTCATGGGGTGGGGCAGGAATGACTGGCCCAAAGGGCTGAATGACTGTCCTCCCCACAACAGAGAAACTCTTTACCTAGACGCCAGTCATGGTTCAGAAGTTCAAAGACTCAGCACCAGTTTTTCTCTGCTGTATCTGTCCCCCTTCTAGATCTGTGTTTGATAATCTTCAGAGTCCCCACCAAGAGCAGAATTTATGAGATGCAGCTCACCTGCAGTAGTGGCGACAGAGTGAGCTGAGTTTTAAGGTCAGAGTGGCAGCTTCAGAGATGTTCATTTTCCCTTCTAATTTTCTCTTTGTGTCTTCCTGTTCCTTGTCCAGCCACACTTTTGGCGGCCAATGGCAAACTCTTCTCCAGGTAAGTGTTACATTCAGCCAGGCTGTCTCCTTTAGGAGCTACAGAACTGGGGTAGGTGTCAGAGTTAAAGAGGTTAAAAACAAAAAGCTAAAGATTCACAATAGAAAGTGAGATTTTCCCAAGCAAGAATGAGGCCATAGGCTGAGACTTCACACTAGAGGGTTCAAAGCTAGCCAGCAGGGAATGAATATGCCCAACAGGGTACGTCTTGGAGCCAGGATGCAGACTGCTTCCAAGATTCATATGACGTCAGCTCTGATCCCTACAGGCGATTCCTGGACACAGCCCGGCCCTGCCAGCTACTTGATCTTGGCTGCAGTCTGGCTTCCAGCAGCATGACTGGAGGGACCAACAAGACCAGTTCAAGGTAGGTACCAAACTTGGCAGAGGTGTAAGGGTGGAGAAGATGAGATGCAAAAGAAAATGGAACAGAGAACCCTCACCCATTTTTTCTGGGGTCTCCTAACTGGAGCTTTTGTGAAGTCACATGCTTGAGAAGTATGACCATATTTGCTTCAAGAATAGCATGGAATCTATTCCATACTGGGATGCAGAGGAATCTATCGTTCAGAGCTGGATGCAATGTGTAAAATACAGGTGTCTCCTCCTCTGAACCTTGTGCTTCAGCAAGTATAGTATTTGTACCACCACAGTTCCTGAATTTATTGTAAATGCTTAATAAACAATGAATAAATGCATTAATTAATTGTTTTGATGATTGAATGAAGCAATAAAATACTACTTCATTCAGGCATATTTGTTGTGTCCCCAAATGCAAGCCAGGCAACGACTGTGTGGAATTTGAAAATATGAAGCAGATGGAGAGCTTGCCTCCAGGAGCGCAAGAATCCAATAGGGTGAACAAAATATGCATGCAAATCACTTTAAAACAAGATGGAAAGTGATTAAAAGTAGTGTGGTACAATAAAAAGTATCTGGAATTTGGAGTCAAAGTTTAAATTTGGGAGCTGATTCTCAGATTTATTAGCCGTGTAACTCACTTTAGTGATTTGTCCTCAGTGAACTTTAGCCCTGGCTATACCCCAGTTCATTAAATCAGAATTTCCAGAGATCAGACTCAAATACTGTATTTTTTTTAAAGCTCCCCAGGTGATTCTAATATGCAGTCATGGGTGAATACCAATGATCCAGTCTTACGTCTACAATTTAGATAAGGAATCTTGAGACCATGGAAACAGAACCAGCACTTAGGAGGCAAGCGCAAGAGTTGATCCAGGGATTCTGATTATCCAGCTATTAATTAAACAAGATGGTACCTATCTGGGTCAAAAAGCCCAGCATTCTTTCTGAAGAGAGTGGCATTGGTTATTCAATGTCTCACATAATCTACAGCCTCCCCGGTCCCCATTGCTGTTTGGAATGCATAGTTACTGATGTCTGGTGTCACCCAGCGTGGTGGCCCAGATTTGGATGTAGATATGTATTGGTGCTGAATCAAGAGAGAGAGAAAGCAAGCTTGATCTTCCATAATGAACGGCTCTGTCCTGAAAGTAGTGCTACAAAGGGGCCTACCTCTCAAAATCAGGTTTTGGACATACTATATTAACTAATTTTTAGCCACAGATGAGAATAAGATGACTTTTATGTTCCTTACACATCATTGCCTAACTGTCCCACAAGCACTGGAGCAAGCAGGGTAGCCAGCTGCAAAGCACTTGGCAAAAGTCAGTCGTAGCATGGGATGTGCCCATGGAACTGACAGGCTAATAACATGGCCACGGGATTTCCTCACATCTATGCTGCTTTTGTTTCTTCAAATCCCTTTCACAGTAAATTTTCATTCATCTGTAGTCAAAGTCCTGTGACAGAATCTTATTCCATTTGTAAACCAGGCCTAGGCTGTAATTGCCTTGTTTCAGACAGAGAATTTAGATCGAGAGAAGTGACAGCTTTTTCTTGAAGTCACAGTGGAAGGTAGAGAAATGGTCAGAAAGCTATCTCAGTCTCCTGGCACTTTTATTAGATACTTTGGTCACCCTGTGGCTCAAAGTTGGCCCTATTCCCCAAAATCTCCCTTTTCAGCATTTCTGAAATTCTGGACAAGGTGCAAGAAGATGCAGAAGATGTCCTTTTCAGTCTGGGCTTTGGCCAAGAGGACCACAAGGACACTTCTCGGATTCCTGCCCGATTTTTCACCACCCCCTCTCAGGCCAAAGGCATTGATTTCCAACTCTTCCTGAAGGCCCAGGTGCGGAGGATTGAGATGGAAGACCCTTGCCTCATGCTGGCCAGTGAGTGTTACCACAGATCTCTTTTCTACTTCTCCCCCAGCGTGAGACATTCACAACAGGTGCCAATGGCTCCAACTCCTTCTCTCCCATGGTCAGCTTCAGTGGACCCTTTGTCTCTTTTATCTATTTCCCCAAAGGCATTCCAATTGCCTTAAGATGAAGGTGGAGAATTTTGACACCTGCTTTTCCCTCTTGAAGAAATAGTCTTTAAGAGATCTCACATCACTATTATTGTGAGGCCTTCTCTCCTTTTAGCTAAACCAAATCAGAACAATGTCTTTAAATCTCATTCCCGTTTTCTACTTCTGAACTGGTATTACAACCACTGCATTAAAATAATTTCCATTTAGGGCAGTGGTTCTCAAAGTTAGATATGCAAAGTCACTCAGGAAGTTTATGGAACATTTATATTCATAGGCTTTTCTTTCAGAGAGGGAGGTGCCCAGGCATATTTATTTTAAACAAGCACACAAATGATGCTTACGTGTAATACTTCGACCCCATGTAGGAAAACAACAATTTCAGGTGCCCTGATTCCCTACTAAGGAAACATATGAGAGGGTTTCTCTACCCAGATGTGGCATAAAAGACTTTACTTGAGTCTATATATTAGGATATATTTCAAATTCTGTTCTGCTACACCCCCAACATGATAGTATTCCTGACAGCTTTGTTGCAGATTCTTTGCAACAGATCCAAGTTAAAAACTCAAAAAATCTGCGCCCCTGAGCTCCACCTGCTAAAGCAAGGATCTTGAGCTGGAGTACTGGAGTACTTTGCAGCACCTTAGGTGATTCTCTGCACAGTAAAGACTGATGATGACTTATTGAATTATTTTATGTGCCAGGTGTATAATTAGGTGTTAAATTCTGGAAGAACAACAGCAAGACAAGAGGAACATGATTCCCACCTTTAGGGAGCTTATAGTTTAAGAGCTGTATGACTTAGCACAGTGCTTTTCAAATATGGATGTGCTTAAATACCAAAGGATATTTAAAAATGCTTGAGATGCAGCTAAGATTCTGCATTTATAACAAGTTCTCAAGCAACCCCAATGTTACTGGACTAGTAGTGGACACACTGAGAAGTGAGGTCTAGTAGGAATGATAGAGTCCACCTAAATTTCACTACCCCAGTCCATTGCCTAGTAATTGCTATCCCTCAAATGTATTGATATTAAGAAGTCTTTTGTAACCCTAAACTTTTGTTACTAAGAAAATAATGTTGATTTTGCCCTTTTTTGCCATCTAAAGCAAACGCAGTATGGAGGGTGTTGCTTAGAATATAGTGACAGCAGAAAGCATATGCTAAAGCAAGATAGAGCAAAGTTTCTCATTCCATATAGAATTACTTTATGGACTAGAGGAAAACACCTATTTGGCATGGGGAGTCAAGAAGTCAAGAAAAGGGACCCTGGGTGTCAGAAATGTAACTGGGAGAAATGCTAGTGGGAAATTGGCACCTTCTTTCTGTATTTTGAGTCTGAAGAAGGCTACTAAAGAAAGAGATACAAGAAATAATTTGCTGATGACCCCCAGACTCACCATCTTCAACCTTTGTACCCAGGCAGGTTTAAGCAGGTGCAAACACTGGCTGTCACTGCCGATGCCTTCTTCTGTCTCTACTCCTACGTGTCTAAGACACCTGTCCAAAAGTTCACACCATCCCACATGTTCTGGAATTGTGACCCAACTGATGTGCCATCTATCAGGATTCTGGCTCCAGAACTGGAACCTCACTCACCCAGAGAGCGCCTTCGGAAAGCCATCTCCAAGATGTGCCTGTATACATGCCCCCGAGATCGGCTATCACCACCCCATAACACCCCCAAAAGGAACAGCTTAGACCAAGTGGTGTGGGAAGTGATGGACAGAGTGAGAGGAGAAAAGCTAGTCCTCCAGCAAGATCCTGGATTTGGGCCAGACTCATGGAAAGACTCTTTGCCCAATATCGGGGGTACAAAACTGCCCACTTCTTCCTGTCCATGTGCCCTCTGCCCTAAAGAGGAAACACAGCAGGGGATGTCCACAGTGCAAGCACAATCACAAACCCTGGTTTCTAACCCAAAGGCACTCTGTTGCACACATTCTCTGCCCAGAGCAGATCTACAGTGGAGCACAGACTCTGCACAGGTAAAGAGAGAGCTGCAGGGTCCACTGGCCACAAACAAGGAAGCCCATTCAGCCCAAGATGGAACTTTCTGGAAAAAGAAGGCCAGAGCAAGAAAGAGCTTGTTTCAGAAGAATCCCATGGACAGGACGGTTAAGCCAATGGGCCCGTCCATCATCCAACAGAAAAGGCAGCAGAGCCAAAAGGGACCAGAATTGCACCAATCTTTAACCCAGCAGCTACAGGACACTTTTGACTTGGAGGAGGTGAGTGGGATGGAGATGAGGGAGAGGCAAGAGAAAAGCTCTGGATTCTTGCCCTTGGGTCTTCTCCAGGTATATCAATTCTCAAATTACAATCAGGAACCTCTGGGAATGAGGTAATATAGAAGATATTGACCAATATCATGTGTGGGATCCACACAAGGATATAGAGGAAATAGAGGTCAGTTATACAGCATGCTAAACACTGTTAAGTAAAATATGTTCTTCTCTCCCTTGACAAATATGTATCCATAAAGACCTGGAAGTCCAGGTTCATATCTAGATTTCTCAGACTCTTAGAACTTCTATTCTAGAATATGGCAGTATGGACAGAACCACTTCCCAGCCTGTCCCCTTCTCTTCTCATGCCCAGATCTATCTTGCACCTTAAGGGACCTGTCACACACATGTGTGAACTCTCCAATCGGCATATCCAAAGCCATACACAAATAGCCATTCACTGGTCATCACTCATGCCTGGGGGTAGAGAGGTTGACCCTCTGAGAGAATGCACCAGGCAAAACCAGTTCCCTGAAGCAGGCATGGGGCCATTTGAGCAGCACACTTAGGGATTCTGGGTAACCATGCATGGTCTGAAAGGAGTAGTGCAGGACCCAAGTGGGCCCATCTTCTAGGTCTACCAACTCCATGTCGCAGGGACTCTCAAAAACTCAGGACCCCTCTAGTTTACATCTATTGACAGTACTGCCATCAAGTGCTGGGTGTCTTGGAAAAGTTCTCAGATCCTTGCCACAAAGAGAAGCTGTGTTGATTTGCAGTGTCACTGGCATGGGTGTTGCCTCTCCAGTGAATGGCTGCCCCTCAGCTCCTTCCTTCCTCACTACCAGGTTCCTGCCACAGTAGAAGAGGCTGAGTCTCTCAAGCACACTCAGTCTTTCCCCTACAGCTGCCACCCTACACTTTTCCCCACCAGTGCCTCTGACTGCGTTACATCTCAGTTACAGGTGCAAAACCACAGTGAGGAAGAGGAGAGCCACTGTGGACCCAGTGGACCCAGACATCCTCACCTCTACCAGACTGCTGTTGCTGCTCAAGATTCAGAAAGTAAGTGGGTCATTCATTCTCTCTCTCTCTCTCTCTCTCTCTCTCTCTCTCTCTCTCTCTCTCTCTCTCTCTCTCTCTCTCTCCCTCTCAGTGATTCTCAAAGCTCGCTGCATATTGTAATCACCTGGGAAGACTTTTTTTCAAATGCCCACAATGAAGGGTCCCACAACTGTGATTCTGATTTAATTGGTATGGCACAGAAACCAGAGGCTGAATTCTTATTTTTAAGCCCTTCGGGTGATTCTGCTTTGACTGGAAAAATACTCCTCCTAGTCAGTGGTTCTCAGCCTTTAGCATCAGCATCCCCGGAGAGCTTGTTAAAATACAGGTGGCTGGGCTCCAGCACCCAGAGTTTCTGACTGAATAGCTCTGAACAGGGCCCAAGATTTTGCATTTCTAACAAGTTTCCAAGTGATACTGAAGCTGCTGTTCCAGCCATCACAGTCTGAGAACTGCTGTTCTAAGGGAAATTCTGTATAACCTTAATATTAAAAAATGTAGTCTACGACCCAACAGCGTTAGCATCATTTGGGATTTTGTTAGAAATGTGGAATCCCAGCCCCCAACCTGATATCTAATGAACCACAACTTTATCAAGATCCTTAGTGATTCATCTGCACGATGTAGGTTGAAAAGCATTACTGTAGAAGTTTTGTAACAGGTAAGGACCATCCATGAAGATCTATACCCCCAGCATCTGCTTTTTGCTGCTTTCTCACCAGCCCACATCATAGGACTTAGAGAAGAGTCCACAGTAGATCTCACGGTTTTTCTCACTGAGGCTTTGGGTCCCTTTCTGCAGCTGGAGCCTGGTGCACATGGCGCTCTTTCCCTTCCTCAAAGCAGGACAATGAATCTCATATAAATAGTTGTTACAGTTAAAATATTTTACGATGTGAGTTTTGAGTATTAACTCTTTCAGAGGTATTCCTTATACCTTTGAACATTTTGGCTAAAGATTTGCTATTTAAACTAAGTAGAAATTCATCTCCAATAGTTTTTACCATCTAGTCCCTAGGACCACAAAGAAGATGGCATCAGGGATAAATGATTTTTCCAAGATAATAGGAATTGAAATCTTTCTTGTATTGAGGAAATGAATCTGGTTTAGAGTTCCCTCCATTCCTAATGTGTTAGTATTATTTGCTGTACTTCCTAGCCCAATGGCTTTTTTTGGTTAGTACTCCAAAATGTCAGGGCTACCTGTCCAGAATCACAAAGAGCTTTAATGATTCTAACTCTTTTAATTCTAATTTTCTGTGATATTAGAGCCCTAATAAGTCTTCTTTATCTCTTACCCATTACCCTCATCTCCAGGGGTATAAATTGTATGTATACAGTTACTCACTCACCAAAGAGGTAAATATCATAAGGCAGCAATATGTTACATGTAGTTGAAAAAGTTTAGGTCATGGAATGAAATGATCCACCACATGCTAATTCAATGATCTTGCAAAAATCCTTTAACTTTAATTCTGTCCTATGTAATAGGAGAATAATGATAATTATATATAAATTGTATATAAATGATAAATATATATAAATTATATATAAATTGTATATATATATATACAATATAAATTGTATATATATATATATATATATACACACACTAAGCACTTGTATATACATATGAACATTCTGATTTAATTGGTATGGCACGGAAACCTGCACATACTCCCTACTATGTGAAGGTGACACACTGGAATAACAGTAATGATGCTGATACTGCTACTGATTTCAGAAAAGGTAATCTTGGGTATAAAATATTTAGATCAATGATTCTCAATCCTACAAGCTTTTAAAAAAATGGTTATTTCTTGGACTCTACCCAATAGAATTAAATATAAAATCTCTAAAGTGTGGACTTGGACATTACTGTTTATTCTTGTTTTAAAACTTTCCTAATGCATGTTTCCTAGTGCTTCATAGCAAACCACCCAAAACCTAGTGGCTTAAGGGATATTTATTATTTTTCCCCATTTTGTGGCGGTACTGGGAAGCTCTTCTGCTTGTGCTGCCTGGATTCCACTTATGCAGCTGCTTTTGGCTCATTGGCTGGGCTGGATGGAATGTCAAAAATGGGTCCACCCGCATGTCCAGAACCTTGGTGCTGACAGCTAGCACTTCCCACGCATTGTGCCATTCCTCAGCAGTCTAGTTTGTCTTTCTCGTGAGGTGTTCAGCAAGAACTGAAGTTGCAATACCTCTTTTTAACTCTTTTTAAGTTATGTTGCAAACTGCACAAACCCTAACCCCTCCACCACATGTTAGTGGTCAAATCAAGTCCCAGGGCCATCTTTATAAACAGTCTATCTCTATCACAGACAATGATTCCGGTCACCAAGAGAGTTAAGAACAACTGCTTTAATTAAGGGACTTTATCCTCACGTACTAAAGATGAACTGAGAGCAAGCTTTCATTCTAAAGCTCATTCAAACTCAGACACACCATACAAAATTTGAAAAAGAAATTAACTGCTAGACTTATCAAATTAAAATAGAAAATGTGGAGTACGTGATCCGCAGCTAGCTTTTTCTGCCAATTTAATTTACTCCAAAATGCACTGCTTTGCTCGTGTTGTTTATGTCCAGCAGATGTCAGCCTCACACAAGAAAAACACCACAATGTCCGGCAAAGCAGGAGATTACCTACATGGTTTTACTTGCCTGGACAATCCTTGCAATACCCAGGACATCAGTTCCTCTCACAAACCTGTCCCACCTTTGGCTAAATATCAATATACAGAAAGATTAGAATTGAATGAATTAGTAGGAGTTACATATTTCAAGTAAGTAGCTAGATTCCATTCTCTGCCAGGATGATAGGATTTCATTACAGCATGAGAGATTGTGGTTACAAATGCTATATTTCACTTATTCTAAGACACATTTTTCTATATTTTAATATCCCTGAAATAGAATGGGTCTTACAATTGTCAATGTCAACCAACTTGTTTATGTTTTCCCTCCTTAGTGGAATATAAAATAATTAGGAGGCTTACAAAAGATGGCTTATCCGATCACTGAAACACAGTACCTTCAAAAATAAAATGTACTTAGCTCCCAGGTAAGGGAGGAAATGAATTAGTAGTTTTTCGTGCTATTATTCCCTAGAAGAATAAGAGATCTCTCCCTCACTGACAGTCTTTGGCTAAGGCAGGGGACACCACAGTGGTTCCCAGATCTTGCCAGTGTTCCATGTGTTTGTTTAATCACCTTTTCACAAAACTATGAACTCTCTCTCTCAATCCACTCCTCTATTATCCTTTAAGAGACCCCAAGAAGAGTGGAACAGCTATGAAACAGCCAAGTACTGCCAATATTAAAGAGTGTGTGATAAATATGGGAGATGGGGACTCACTCACCACTATCAAAGGCAGAGCAACGTGCGGCAGTTCCTCATACCTACTGAGAACCACCACCACTCTGCCTCTTCCAGGCTCTGTAATTATCTCCTAGAGGTCACTTATCTCCCTGGTGTTAATGGCAGGGGAGGGGTGTGAGCATGGCAGGAAGTGACGGCAGCATGCAGGTGGCCACTGTGTCCAGCTGCATCGTCCCCTTGTTACACAAAGATACTCACTTGAAAAGGCAAACGGGTTGGAATCCAACTCTACCAAGCCTTCCACCCAAAATCTCAAGGGTCTCCATCTTCTAAGAGGAAGTTCCCCCTTTTTTCTTTCTTCTAATTTACTCCATAAGATGAGTGCCTTTCTGTAATTTGCACAAGGACAGCTTTTTTGTTCAAAGAGGACCTGGTCACGCTGTCAGCTTTCTTCCCTCCCTCTCTCTCCTATCATCTCCTCCAGAGAGGTCTTAATCTTCCTCCATGATCCTAGGAAAGGATGGTCTTCATCATTCCCCAAAGTTTGCACCATGCTCAAGAATTTCAAGTTCATTGCCCTTTCTGTTGGTGGCCTGTTGCTGAAATTTGAAATGTTTGGTCTTTACCACATTTAGAAGAGTCAGGGCCAAAGGAGATTATTTTTTGTTGTTTGTTTCTTTTACCAGATCTGAGGTACACAGGCCAATACGTATTCTATTCGAAAAGTGATCATATCTAGAGGTCGGAGGTTTCATTTTATGGTGAACTCTGCCGCTTGGAGAAGACAGGAAGGATTAGGTGTGGAGGCTGGTGCTGAGCAGAGGATAAATCAGGAAACTATTCTGAGATAATCCCAAATTGCACGTAACTGAAAGTGCTATTCATACCTGGTGGAACCTATGTAAGCCAGGTAGCTACAGACTTGCTCTCTGATGTAAGATATTTCCCATATGATAATACTAACAATAACAAATATTTACGTATAGCACTTACCACATGTCAGACTATCTTTACCACTTTATTGGAATTGAATCATTTAATTCTATGATACAAGGTTTTTATTGTTTCCCATTTATAAATGATGAAACAGGGCACAATTATTTTTATACCAAAACAAATTCTGAAGAGGGTCTACTGGGAAATGTTGGGAGAGATGGGAATCTTTAGCACTTTATGGGAATTAAATCATTCAATCCCATAATTTAAGTTTTTTATTGTTCTCCATTTTATAAATGATGAAATGGTATTATAATTATATTCATACCAAAATAAATTCTGAAAAGGACCTTCAGAAAGTATGAAGAGAAATAGAAAAAGAGAGGGGAAGGAGAGAGGACATCATGACAATGCAATGATTATTTTTCTGCCTTGTTTACAATTCCTGCAAAGGTTGTATTGCATCAGTTACAGAAATGCAATTAAAAACAAAATCTTCTGCCACCCCAGAAAATCTCTCCATAAGGGTATAAGAAAAAGAAAGCAGTTTTCTTTTTGAATAAGCATTAAACCAGAATATCATGTACATCACAGGCAATCCACTAAAGAGATTGCAAAGACAGAAAGAAATCTCACCCTTTTATATAGCCAAGCAGATACAATCCATTACATAGATGATAAAATAAACAATAACTGTCCTCAAGAAAGAAGATTTGACAGCTCCATTTGTCACACAT